CGCTGCGCGCCGCGCCAAACCAGGCTATGAACGCGCGGCAAAGCAGTTTTTAGCGCGCGCCGCGTTCGGCACCCGTTGGAGATGCTCTTAGCTCCCTTTCGTGCAGGATAGTGTGCGGTAGTAATATGAGAAGGCTTTGGAATCTCAGTTGTTAGCATCAAGCAAGTAGTTGGGGGTGTGCAAGCAAGGAAGGACGGGCTGGCCGGGAACCCGAGTCCGTGGCAAGCAAAGCTGGGAGGGGGATGTTGGTGGGCGATTCCGTTGAGCTGTGGAAGGAACGTCTTTGGTCCCAGAAGGCGTGCGCCACGGACACAAGCAACGCAGAGCAGGCGCACGCGTGGATAGGGTAGGGACGGGACGACGCGGTTCGTGCGTGAGCCTGTGCGTTTCTCCCTGCCGACCACACGATGTCCATCTCCGTGTACGTGCGCTGAATCTGCGGCTGGCGCCGGGCCGAACACGCTGGTGAGATTGAGAAGCGTCACAATCCAACCGGGTCAACACACACGTACTCGTCCTCCCCACCGTTGGCGACGCGGCAGCCAACGGTAACTGCCCCATCCACCGTCCAAATCGATGATTATCCAAGCAATACTTTACGAGTAATCGGAATTTTCTAGTCGACGCGTGCCCTTTTTCCCACGCCCACCTCGCTTTCTTCGAGAGGAAGGAGCTGTCATCTTTTTCTCCTGAAACCACTCGCCGTCGTTTCCTTTTTCTCTTCATTCATTCTCCGGCACATCGATACGCACACCAGCTGAATAATATTATTCAAAGGAAAGCTTCGAGCAGAGGCAAATCCCCACGGAAATACGCGGCCACTTGCGTTTTGCATCTTCTCCTTTCATATTCACTTTCTTCCATTCTTTAGAAAAGGCTTGGGATTATTAATTCATTCAAACGCATGCTTTGGTTACTAGCAGTACAGTATACCCTCTTTCTTGCTGTTTCCTAGTACTAATTTCCACACTTTTGAGAAACGGTGCAAAAGCAAAGGAAAAAAGTAGTGTACCAACCCGAAAAATATATTATCATGAAAGATTTCTAAAATTAATGAAAGATAGTGAACTCGTGGGAAAATATATATGAAAATGAATGACTTAAATATATGAAAAAGGCAGTGACACATGGCAGCCGCAGCAAAGCGAGAAATAAAAATGCATTAAAACCAAGGGAATAAGAATACTGTAATGGCACCCACCACGCGACCTTTGTCCGTTCCTCTCCTCTCCGGTACTCTGCTCTGGAGCCAGTAGTAGTATTTGAACGGAACGGAAGCCCCAGTTGCCAAATCAGATTCAAACCCACAATCGACTCCACACTCCACCCCGGAGTGCGATGCCGCTCCTCATCCTCCTCATGCTGCTCGCCGCCGGCGCGGCGGGGGCAGAGTCGGCGACCCCCTCGCTGCACATCGGCGTCAACTACGGCGCCAACGCCGACAACCTCCCCTCCCCGACCTCCGTCGCCACCTTCCTCGCCACCAAGACCACCATCGACCGCGTCAAGCTCTTCGACGCCAACCCCACCTTCATCTCCGCCTTCGCCGGCACGCCCATCTCCCTCGCCGTCTCCCTCCCCAACTCCGCCCTCCCCGCCCTCGCCGACAAGGCCACCGGCCTCGACGCCGCGCGCTCCTGGATCCGCGCCAACCTCTCCCCCTACGTCCCCGCCACCAACGTCACCCTCCTCCTCGCCGGCAACGAGATCCTCCTCTCCACCGACACCAACCTCATCCTCTCCCTCCTCCCCGCCATGCGCCGCCTCGCGCAGGCCCTCAAGGCCGAGGGCCTCACCGGCGTGCGCGTCACCACCCCGCACTACCTCGGCATCCTCGCCCCCTCCGACGGCATCCCCTCCAACGCCTCCTTCCGGGCGGGCTACAACACCAAGCTGTTTCCGGCCATGCTGCAGTTCCACCGCGACACCGGGTCGCCCTTCATGGTGAACCCTTACCCCTACTTCAGCTACCGGCCGGAGACGCTCAACTACGCGCTCTTCCGCCCCAACAGCGGCATCTACGACCCGGCCACCAAGCTCAACTACACCAGCATGCTGGACGCCCAGATGGACGCAATCTATACCGCCATGAAGAAGCTCGGGTACGGAGACGTCGACATCGCCGTCGGGGAGGCCGGGTGGCCCACCCAGGCGGAGCCCGGGCAGATTGGCGTCGGGGTGCAGGAGGCCAGGGACTTCAACGAGGGCATGATTCGGGTGTGCAGCAGCGGCAAGGGCACGCCGCTGATGCCCAACAGGACGTTCGAGACCTACCTCTTCTCCCTCTTCGACGAGAACCAGAAACCAGGGCCGATCGCCGAAAGGCACTTTGGCCTCTTCAACCCAGACTTCACGCCCGTCTACGACCTCGGACTCCTCCGGGACGGCGCGGTACGTACTGCGCTTTTCTCCCCTCTGATGATCCTTAATAATTATTCAAGATATGAACCTTTACCTGCCTGTCTTGTGTCCTTAAACTTATCAAATTGCTGGGGCCTAAAATCTTTTCTTCTTTACTAGTAGGAGTATAATGATTGGTTGATTGCATCCCATAATTTGTCTGGGCCTGTCTTTACAATCGTGATTTTATATTTCATTTCTGCGGAGAATGTGGTTTCAATTGTGTTAAATTCAGTAGTATTTTATTTGGGAGGAAAAAAAAACCCAGGGATGAACCCAGTAAAAGTAGTATAGTACGTAATAATGGACATTCCGTGTCATCCATGGGCTGCAGCAACTCTGTTTACAGCCTTACAGATGATCCGACTTGAATGCTAAGGTGGTCCTCCATTCACACTGCAACTGCATTTGTCAAAGGTGATGTATGTGTATGGACCGGCTTCTTCTGGAAACGGCTAGCTGCTTGCTTGCGTTTCCGACTTTTGCTCCTATCCCCTGCATGGTCTGCTTGCCCAAACGGCTGCCTTTCTTGACTGATCCAGTATGACAGCAGGCGCGTGTTGATAGCAGCCTTGGACACGTCTGGGGTTATGGGTGGGGTGGGACCACTGCCAAAACTCTGATTTAGATCCATATGCACATGTTTGCTAGCTATTCGCTGCTGCTGCTGCTGCTGCTGCTGTAAATGTACCAGTAAGCTTGCACCGGACAATTCCGAGTTATTAACAAAATACCAGTACGTAGTACTCCCTATCAAAATCTTGTAGTATTAGTTTACAGAGTGAGTACATGCTAAAAGAGGCACTAGGATCTGATATTTGAATTGGAACGGATATATCAGAATAAATGGTTTAATGACTTAAATCAACCGGTACTGTTTTGAGAAGAAGAAGAAGAAAAATCAACAGGTTGTCAACACTGCTGAGTTCTTTTTTTGTTTTTTAATAAGGCTATGTTATAAATTCCGGATCAACACGTTAAGGGCTTCTTTGTGTTAATTTCATTTCTTCAAAGGAAAAGATGTAACCTTGAAACTTTTCTAACGGAAGCTACCTTAAAGCAAAGGAGATAGGGTTTAAGATTCTGGTGGTCTTGTGTCTCAAGTTTTAACTAGAAGCCGCACCTTTGGACTTGCTATCTGTTGTTTGCTGAGATGGTTGCCTATTGTGTACTAGTAAATGACAGGATAGCGCATACATCTGTATGCCTGCCTGTAGGTTCAGATAACAGATGGAGCCTTGCTTCATTTGGCGTCATCTCCTTTCCGTGGCATCCAATACAGGAAGGCATGCATCTGTTCTGCTTCAGCTGCATTAATGTTGTGGTGTGCATGTGGATTAGGCCCTCTCATCAAAGGAAGGAAGCAGCCATTAGCTGGCTGCCTTTTCGGATGCTTAGCGAAAGTGAACCATGTGGAGGAGAGGGCCTGACTGCATTACTAATTTTCAGCATGTTGATTCGGCCTTCGGGCGGCTAGTGTGTGTCAACAATCTTAAGAAGAAAACCAACTTGGACTTGCCCTGCTTTGGACGGTGCCAGCCCAGCCCAGAGAACATGTGCTTTGTTGTCAAAGCACCACTAATCTGCACAGCCTTCCAGTATGGCTGTCTAAAGTATTACTAGTATAACTCAGTTGAGAATCTAAAGTATGGCCGACAGTTCTGATGCTTAGATTCGTCGCTCCTGTGCTGTTACCTGACTTAGCAGGTGCCGTTATGTTGTTTTGCATTGCAGTCCGTGGCTCCAACCCCTTCGCCGAACCCATCGCCCAATCCGAGCCCTAAGCCCGCGCCGTCGGGAGGCGGGAAGTGGTGCGTCGCCAAGGACGGCGCCAACGGGACGGACCTGCAGAACAACATCAACTACGCCTGCGGCTTCGTAGACTGCAAGCCCATACAGAGCGGCGGCGCGTGCTTCAGCCCCAACAGCCTGCAGGCCCATGCGTCGTACGTGATGAACGCCTACTACCAGGCCAACGGCCACACCGACTTAGCGTGCGACTTCAAGGGCACCGGCATCGTCACCTCCAGCGACCCCAGTAAGTCCATGTACTAACAGTTTGTGAAGTTTCTGAACCTGGCTGCCTGTGGCATCGGAGGAGCTGACGATGGCACCCTTGTTGTGTTGTTGCAGGTTACGGGGGTTGCAAGTACGTCTCCTGACGGTACGCAGCAAGCCACGGCAGTACGAGGGCAGGGGGGCCAGCCTCCAGCCCACTACCATCTCCAGCTCGGAGCCGCGGTGGCGGCAGCGACGGAGGACTGCTCATACTGCCGGGCTTGCGCCATATTCTTCTATACTCGTGTCTGACAGCCATGCTGCTTCTTCCTTTCTAGTCATATAAATATCAATCATCGCCTCTTAGCTTAGCGCACACAGGCGGCTGTAGCGTGATGTTGGGCCGTCTTGCATTGCATCGCATTAATTTATTTTTCGTTCTCTTCGACTCATTTTTGGCCCAAATTTAGGCCGAGTTTGCATCCGTGCGGATGCCCTCGACGCCCTCTCCCTGTCCTCGTCTGCCCGTATGTGGCACTACCACGCCATCGCCATCTCTCCCAATTCGCTGTCAAATCCTTCCGCGCTCCCGCCCTCTCGACATGCCCGACCCCGCCATCGCCCCCTTCCCAGTCATGGCCGCCCACGCCGTGGTCCTGAGGAAGTCAAAGAAGGTGCACACCTTGAAGTAGAGGGATGCCTAGAGCAAGGTGGAGAAAAAAGAAGCCGCCGTTGCAGGCGCTTCGGCCCAGGTCGCTGCTGCGGAGAGCGTTGCCCTCGCCGCCAAGGCCACGCAACAGGTCCTTCTGTCAGGGTACCAAGAGCCGACGCTTCTCGTCACCACCGCCACCGCCAACATGGGCTCATCGGTGGCAAGCCCGCCCATGCTTCCGAAATCGTCGCGCCTGTCAATAATGCCGCCGGCATACGGGTGCCTTCCTAGGCACGACCCAGAGGTGTCCTACTTCTCCATGTCGCCTCGGGACCTCTCACCAAAAATGCACGACTTCGTGCCGGCTGTCCCAGTGGTGCCTGCCCTTGATCTCAACGCCACACCGATGGCCAGCCAATCCACCAGACGCGAAGGGAGCGCCCATGGGCGATCCCCATTGACAACTTTCCTGACGCCTCCTTCCTATTCGATGGTGCCGACACTGGCGCCGGATAACACGACGTACTACAACAATTTCATCGAAGAGATGATCTATGAGGGTGGCCAAGACGACCGCTGCCAAGACACCCAGGGCCACCACGGCCAAGAAACTCGAGACCAAGGCAACCAAGGTAGGAGTCAACATCGAGGATGAACATTGTTTAAGAGGAGCTATCTCATCAAGCCAATGCACAAAAGAGGCGACAAATTGTGAGGACGGGAGCTACACAAAGGATGATGGCAAGTTAATTTGCGAACTTGGATGGCAATTGTACAAGATCCCAAATCCGACACCAAGCAAAAGGAAACAACATTTTGAAAGAGGGTCCATACATACTTCCATGAACGTAGGAGGTTTATGTCCTACAAATTTGAGAGTGACAGGACCGACGTGTGACTCCGAAAGAGACGAGCTTTCATTCAATTGGAGTGCAACAAGTTTTATGCCTCTCATGAGAATATCTCTGGTCGTACTGTGAGCGTTCTTGACATCGAAGACATGGTATACAATTCCTTCCCTTGTTCATATGAGCTTGATGCCATGTCGTCCTCCTGTGCATATGAATGTATCTTGTTGGTTTGAACTCCATATGTATGAAGAAAATATGCCCTAAATGTAATAATAAAGTTGTTATTTATATTTCCTTATATCATGCTAAATGTTTATTATTCATGCTAGAATTGTATTAACCGGAAACTTAGTACATGTGTGAATACATAGACAAAACAGAATGTCCTTAGTATGCCTCTACTTGACTAGCTTGTTAATCAAAGATGGTTAAATTTTCTGACCATAGACATGTGTTGTCATTTGATGAACGGGATCACATCATTAGGATAATGATGTGATGGACAAGACCCATCCGTTAGCTTAGCATATTGATCGTTCAATTTTATTGCTATTGCTTTCTTCATGACTTATACATATTCCTCTGACTATGAGATTATGCAACTCCCGAATACCGGAGGAACACCTTGTGTGCTATCAAACGTCACAACATAACTAGGTGGTTATAAAGATGCTCTATAGGTGTCTCCGATGGTGTTTGTTGGGTTGGCATAGATCGAGATTATGATTTGTCACTCCGAGTATCGGAGAGGTATCTCTGGGCCCTCTCGGTAATGCACATCACTATAAGCCTTGCAAGCAATGTGACTAATGGGTTAGTTGTGGGATGATGCATTATAGAACAAGTAAAGAGACTTGCCGGTAACGAGATTGAACTAGGTATGATGATACCGACGATCGAATCTCGGGCAAGTAACATACCGATGACAAAGGGAATAACGTATGTTGTTATGCGATTTGACCGATAAAGATCTTCGTAGAATATGTAGGAGATGATATGAGCATCCAGGTTCCGCTATTGGTTATTGCCCAAAGATGTGTCTCGGTCATGTCTACATAGTTCTCGAACCCGTAGGGTCCGCACGCTTAAACGTTCGATGACGATTTATATTATGAGTTATGTGATTTGATGACCGAAGTTTGTTCGGAGTCCCGGGTGTGATCACGGACATGACGAGGAGTCTCAAAATGGTCGAGAGATAAATATCGATATATTGGAAGGCTATATTCGGACAACGGAATGGTTCCAAGTGATTCGGGTATTTTTCGGAGTACCGGAGAGTTATGGGAATTCGCCGGGGGAAGTTAATGGGCCTTATTGGGCTTTAGTGGAGAGAGAGGGAAGAAGGGCCATGAGGTGGCGCGCGCCTCCTCCCCGCCCAAACCAAATTGGACAAGGGGTGGGGGCGCCCCCCTTTCCTTCTCCCTGTCCCTCCTTTCCTTCTTTCCTATTTCGAAAAATAAAGGGAATCCTACTAGGACTTGGGAGTCCTAGTAGGACTCCCTACACTTGGCGCGTCCCTAGGAGGGTCGGCCTCTCTCCCTCCCTCCTTTATATACGTGGGCAGGGGCACCACAAAGGCACACCAAGATTTGTCTTAGCCATGTGCGGTGCCCCCCTCCAGAGTTACACACATCGGTCATATCATCGTAGTGCTTAGGCGAAGCCCTGCGCCGGTAACTTCATCATCACCGTCACCACGCGGTCGTGCTGAGGAACTCTCCCTCGTCCTCAACTGGATCAAGAGCTCGAGGGACGTCATCGTGCTGAACGTGTGTTGAACACGGAGGTGCCATACGTTCGGTACTTGGATCGGTTGGATCGTGAAGTCATTCGACTACATCAACCGTGTTACTAAATGCTTCTGCTTGCGGTCTACGAGGGTACGTGGATACACTCTCCCCTCTCGTTGCTATGCATCTCCTAGATAGATCTTGCGTGATCGTAGGTAAATTTTTTGAAATACTACGTTCCTCAACAGTGGCATCCGAGCCAGGTCTATGCGTAGATGTTATATGCACGAGTAGAACACAATGAGTTGTGGGCGATAATAGTCATACTGCTTACCAGCAACGTCTTACTTTGATTCGGCGGTATTGTTGGATGAAGCGGCCCGGACCGACATTACATGGCCGCATTCATGAGACTGGTTCTACCGACGTGCTTTGCACACAGGTGGCTGGCTGGTGTCTGTTTCTCCAACTTTAGTTGAATCGAGTTTGACTACGCCCGGTCCTTGTTGAAGGTTAAAACAACACACTTGACGAAAAATCGTTGTGGTTTTGATGCGTAGGTAAGAACGGTTCTTGCTAGAAGCCTGTAGTAGCTGATGAAGATATGTACCTAGGGTAGGGTCATAGGCCTGACCTAGACACCCTCCCCTAGGACGTCACCCTAAAACCAGAAGCATTCGAAGAGGAGTCATCATCCACTCGACCATGAGGACTTCCACTCAGAAGACTTGAAGTTACTCGACCGCGGAGACTGTCACTCGACCACTAGAAGGTCTAAGGTCGCTCCGGGCTACAATGGTCGGACATCACCTCATAGCTTTAATGGTCATTATGTCTCTTTATTTACTAGCGTTACCAGTAATGTCTCCCCTTTAATGTACCTTAAACCCTTTGTAACGTGGGTCGGCTGAGGTCCTGGCGCACTCTATATAAGCCACCCCCTCCACAGGCACAAGGGTTCGCATCTTTTGTAAACTCACACACACATATAATCCAGTCGACCGCCTCCGGGCATCGAGACGTAGGGTTGTTACTTCTTCTGAGAAGGGACTGAACTCATAAAACTCGTGTGTACAACTACTCCATAGCTAGGATCTTGCCTCCTCATACCTACCCCTCATTCTACTGTCAGTCTTAGAACCACGACAGTTGGCGCCCACCATGGGGCAGGTGTCTTAGCAGTTTATTGGGGAAGTTGTGATTCTTCCGATTCCCATCATCATGGTTTCCGGCGGAGGATTGGCTAAAGGCCGCGAGATCCGTCTCGGCGCGCTCGTCTTCATCGCCGACGACTCCGCTTGGCTCCACGAGGCTCCGCTCGACGTCGAGGCGCTCCCCGTCCGCGGGGCGACACACTTTCGCGCCTGCGTCCGCGGTGTCCTTCTTCGACAGCCGTCGACTCAGTATCGGTCGGCTCCTATGACATCCTCACTTCCCGTTGTTCGCCGGTGCCAGCGATCCGGTCGCTCGCGGCTTCAGCGGTGGGTGCGGCATGCGGTGGCCCGCCAATCGGCCACCCCACAAATCGCGGAAATCGAGCCCGACGAAACTCTCTACGGCCTGTTCAACTGGCTCCGTCGAGACAGCATCCGAGTGCGACAGCAGCGACCCCGTGGCAGAAGTCTTGATGGTCAATGGACCACGCAGTCCTCCTGGCTTCACCCGTGACGACGGTGGCGATGGCGTCGGTGATCCATCACATGTCCACAAGGAGTACCGCCCCGAACCCCTCTCTTCGCAGCGGAGGGAAGATCTTCGCCGCCGCAATATGGATGCACTTCACACTCCTATCGCCGGAGAAACCCCCAAGGCCCAGGCCTTGGAGGAGGCGCGCCTGGCCAACTTGGCTGAGCGCACTCGACTGGAGAACCTCCAGCGCGCCCTCGACGAGCGTGCCTGGCAGCAGATTCCTGAATCCAGTCGACGACAACTTTTTCCGCCTCCGACTCAGGTATACCGAACTCCGATCCAGAATCTCACAGCTGAAGCCCGAATAGCTGAGTCAATTCAACCTTCCTAGTCAGAAGCTGGCCGAGGTTTGATGCAGATTCGGGCTTTGCTCCGGGCAGTGGGAGAGCAGAATACGGCAGTATCTTAGTCGCGGAATAGGATTCATAGCAGATCTGTGGTGGCAGATACTGTCCAATCTGCTCACAGCCCAGGATCGCCTCCACGGCGTGAGGGACGTGGGTACCAGCAAGATCAATACAGGAATCGTGAGCAGTATGATCATCGACTCGACCACGATGACCGTCGTCGAGTGCCCACACCTCCTCCGAGGAGTGGGTCATACATGCCTCGGCGGCAAGATGACAGGCGCCCCCACAGCGGCGAACGAAGAATTCTAATCGACCCCAGAGAGCCAGGCTTTGATGCAAGATCTATCCTCGTTCAAGGTCTGATTGATAGGAACAGGGCTCACAGAGAAGGCCTTGATAGAGATCATCCGGCTGGAAGCAAGGTGCATGTTTCAGGACCCGAGTGTTTCAGCAGAGCCATCAGAGCAGCAGTGATTCCTCCCAACTTTAGGTTGGCAACTGGAGTCGGCAAGTTCACCGGCGAGTCCAAGCCAGACACTTGGCTTGAGTACTACCAAGTGGCTGTGCAGATTGGTGGCGGCAATGATGATGTGGCTATGAAGCACCTCCCCTTGATGTTGGAGGGCTCAGCGAGAGCGTGGTTGAATCAGTTGGCTCCTGGCAGTATATATAGTTGGGAGGAACTTGCTCGAGTGTTTGTTAGGACCTTTGAAGGCACTTGCAAAAGGCCTGCATGGTTGACAGAATTGCAGTGTTGTGTTCAGAAACCGAATGAAACCTTGAGGGATTGTATCCAGAGATGGATCACATTACACCATACTATGGAGAATGTGTTAGATCACCAAGCAATTTGTGCCTTCAAGGAAGGCGTTAAATATCGGGAGTTGAACCTGAAATTCGGTCGGACAGAAGATATGACTCTGACTTGGATGCTGGAGATTGCCACCAAATATGCCAATGGTGAGGAGGAAGACCAACTCCGGAGTGGCAAACACAAAACAGTCGCCCAAGAAACCGGAGGAGGGAATTCTA